CCCCCCCCCCCCCCCCCCCACTCTGTTTAATAGAAATATGGTTGCGTAGTCGAGCGAAACGCATCTCGTCGTTATCGAGTACGATACGGGTCCGGTCGCGTCGATCGCGATCGCTAGATTCCACGAGTCTCGCTGAATCGAACCTGAACATCTTTCGTGTCCCCGACCCGAGAGATATACTATGTATAGTAATAACTCGGGCCGCGTTGACGCGCACGAAAAAGATCGTATCCGGAACGAACTCGGTCGGTCCGGCGAACGAGTCGCGGGAACAATACGATCTTAACGGACGATTCGCTTCCCTCTTCCGCGGGGTTCGTAATTTATCTACGGATCGAAGTCACGCATCGCGCGTACACGAGAAAACCACGGCGTTCCGTCTGCTCGTAAAGAATTTTTACTTTCGACAAATTCCGACGGTCTGCCCCTGTTTCGTGCGGCGATCGACTTGGGACATCCTCGGGATACAATTTGCCGGGAATCTCGGTTCGCGATCGAAATCGATCCCGTTCGCCGGGCTCGATAATTCGCGGCTTTGCTCGAATCAGAGAATCTGCCCTCGAATTTGCAAATTGTACGAGATAGAACGATACGCATTGTAATACGGGGGACCGAGGTTTCTTCCTGCTGGCGCGTGTATCTCAAAGCGCTGCCGCGAACAACGCCGCTATTACGGCCTTTTCCCGTGTAATAAAATCGGGAATCGTGTCCAGAGCTGACTCGAGAAACGGGCGTTGCTGGAAGACGTAGCTGGAAGTATCGTTGCGTATTAGATCAATGAAACGTTCTCCATCTCCGTTCGAGGATCGGAGGAGAAAATGTTGGTCCGGCGATGATCGGAACTCACCTTCCTGCTTCTTCGCGGGGAGCCGCCACGCTAATAACCGAACGCGAGGAGAGATAAGCGTCGTACGAGCTTACGGGCACCCGTAATTACGCCGATTACGATTTATCGATCGGTCGGTATCGGCCAGACCCAACCGCAACCGCGTTGTACGGTGCGAGCCGCGACGATATCTAAATTGAATTTCCACCGAGAGTCGGTAGACAAGAGGGAACCTCTTTTTCGCGTTCCAGGGAAGATCGCCGAACACCGATCACAGGTCGATTCCCGCGGTCGATGTTACCCAACTAACATTTAAATTCGTCGAATTTAAACATTACGCGGTCCGCGTATTCGTTTAAGTAATCTCGATAAAAATGACAGAGAGGTAACGGATACGGAAAAGAAGAGCGACGAAGAGATTCGAATGACCAACACGTTTAGTCACAACGTAACTGTTAGCATAGATTTCTCCGTAACCAAACACCCTAATCTCAGCTTCAAATTTCTATACCCTGTTGTACTTCGTATCGTTCCTGACTCGCGATAGATTCTAAAGGCTCGCAAAAATCTCAGCAAATCAGAATTCAGTTATCATCGAAACAGTGCGGATCGTGACTGTACAAAATATAAATTCTTCAAAAGTTTCTTTTTACTGCGTCGAACATTTTCCTTGGCTCGGAGTCCAACACGAGTACTTGGTCGCGATCGCGTCGGTCCGTCAAACGGAGGCGCGTAATCGCGTCGACGGGTGGCAGAAGGAGGTGTCCGTCACTCCCACGAGCGCGATTAAGTGAATCAATTATGCCAATAAGGGAGGACGTCTGGCCGGGGGCCCGGGGGATTGGCGAACAATGCTGATCGAATTATAACCCTGTAGATATGACGCGAACGCGGGGTCGCGCGAGCCAGCGCGTGCATGCATGCACACCGATGTACAATGGATGGACACCGGTCGGATAAACGAAGAGAGGAAACGAGACCTGAGGGAAGAGGAGAGTCCAGCGCGCGACAGGGAGAGAGGCGAAGAGAAATATGCGGGTCGGTGAACTACGGGAAGGATGAAACACCGACCGGGTGGATGCTGCTCCTTGGATTTTTCTCCACTGAACGGGAGACTAGGAAAACGGGGTGCCGGTGTCGAAAGATCGCTAACCGAAGAAAACTTTATTCGACTATTTTGCATATCCTGAATAGGATATTCAGATCCGTAGATGATTACGGAGCAAAGAATAGCGGAAATCGTTGGCAAGTATGGATTCGGTTCGAGTGTAGAAATGTCCAAATTTGTCCATCCTTTCCTCGGCATGGAACACCAACATCGACCAACGACGAGACGTAGCTGCGTACTCGCGACTACCGTCGTCCTTCCTCGCCGTCCGAAACGCGAACCAGGGATCCGTTTAACGAACCGGAACGATTTCATACGAATAAAGCCGCGGCTCGTAAATAAAACGAACAATGTGCCGGGCAGCTTACGTTCTTGTTTCGCCGGGCTGCTATTCGCGGAGACGCGGACGGAAAAATGGCCGGGTTAGATGAACTGGATGGATGTTGCGGTTCGCGGCGCACCCGGCACGCAGTGACAGAGCGTTCGATTCGAGAGAAAGATAATCGAGGGAGCTCCGGGCAGACTCGTGCGCGAACCTTTGGCTGCTCGGTGTCAATTAAACCGACATAGGCGCGCTAGGCGTGCGAACTGACTGGAAAAACCACATCGCGTGGAAACGAGATATACCTACCAGCGGAGGATTCATCGCGGCGCGAGAACGAGAAATTACGCGCAATGAATGACTCACGAACGATCCGATCCGGTCCGGTCCGTCACGCGCTCAACTTAATTAACGATGGAACGATCGGCGAGTCGTTTCGACGAAATTTACCGTTTTGTTGTGTCACGTGTTTCATTCCCGATAGGTAAACATTCCATTACACGTTTCCGTCTCGCTATACATATAGTTTATTTAAATTGCGCCCGTCAGAAAAGAATACGCTATGACGCTGGAAAACAAAAGCCGATTCCGTAAAGATTCCGTAAAACCGGCACCATACGCGAAACGATCGATACCAAACCGGTGTTGGAAATCTTAATCATATTTTTGCTTTATCGCCTTGCCATCATCTCACTGTTTTCCTTCCACATTCTAAAACCTCGGACCTTCACTTTCCACCAGGTCTGTTCGTCATTCGGCCCATAAATTTCCCACTACCGAAAATCGATTTTCCCATGCCAACTCGTCAGATTCCTCCGAGTATTCAACCGTGCTGGCTACAGTATTTTCATGTTGGAACCTAGAGTTAGGAATTAAGAGCGTCTAATAAATAATTTATTAAAGTTATTCGTTTTAACTTCAATCGGGTTCTCCAACACCGTCACGTAATAAAGACGTTTACGATTTCCCGGAAT